TCCATATTCAATGTAGGAAATCCAAAATACGTAACATAAAAGTTTGCCATGTTTCAACAGTCATGTGCTTAGCATGGTTAAGTCGCGCAGCCGTACATTCAAGTTTTCCTATGTTAAGTAAATTAACAGCCCAGAATGATTCCAGGTGAACTCCAGGGGTAATCCAGGTTTGTAGGATTGTCTTTTTAGCAGCAGTAAATCCAGAAAACAATAGTTTACTTTGTATCACCTTTAACCCTATATTGGAGTTGTCATTCAGGAGACACAAACATGGGTCATAATTATATTCAATTTCCAGTAAATCAGACAACACTGAATTGACATATTTCCAGAATTTCTCAACCAAGGGACATTCCCAGAACATATGTAAAAATGTACCCGGAGCGGCATTAGTACATATATGGCAATAAGGGGTAGTTTGGAGCTTCATTTTAAATCTTCTATACAGTGTCAGGTATGCTCTATGAATAACCTTGAAATGAATAAGTTGATATGCTAAATTTTTGGATGTTCTGTTAAGATTAGACCAAACAGTTCCCCATTCCGGAGTATAATTTAAGGCAGCAAGCTTTCTGTTCCATAATGCAGTAACTGAAAATGGTTTCATAGTAGCTTCAATCAACTTCTGATAGATCCTGGCTACACATCCTTTGGAGGGCATGTATGGTTGGATCCGATCCACCATAGGATGAGCAGCTATAGGAGAGCCCCATGGAACCCATAGTTTTTAAGCATTGATCTTAATTGCAAATACACAAAGTAAGTAGAAGCTGGAAGACAAAATGTAATCCTTAAGGTCTCAAAAGAGCGCACACCTCCATCGTCATAAAGATCACCACACATATTAACACCCCTAGAAGACCAAGAAGGTTGAGTAAAAGGTTGTGCCCCTCTTAAGAGATTGTAATTATGCCATAATGGAGTAGAATGACAGAGTTTGAAAGGGCCTCCCACGAGCCTTTCTATATGGGTCTAGACCTTGAGGGAATGTGCAACAATACAGCCGAATTTCAAATCAAGATTTTTAGAACCAGTGCTTGTAAATAACAAATCTTGTAATCGGTGTGGCCTTACTAAAGAAGATTCAATAGTCCTCCATGGGATTTTGGATTCTATGTCAAGCCAGGAATGCAATGCTCTTATTTGAAAAGACATAGAGTAAAATTTAAAATTTGGTACAGCTAAGCCACAAAATACTTTGATTAGATATGACTTTCCAAATATATCTGTACGATAATATTTAACCAACGTAGATTTCTTTGTTCATCCCGCTATAAAGTACAAACATTTTTGAAAAGAGAAACTTGACCTACATTACACTGAACAGCTTCCAACCTAATCATGTGACAGAGATCAGCAAACACCGCGTTAGGAGTCTTGGAATCAGTCCCAGAACACCTGATTAAATGATCTGATATCAACCCAATAGGAGAATACAGACGACCATTAGCAACTACTGAAAACCACCAGGAACAAACAGACACTTTTAACGGGTTATATAGCTTTTTTCAACAGGGACCTTAAATGTAGTTCTCCAGCTGTGTTATGGATGGAAAATGGATTAAGTGATGATGTCGCTAAGCAGCAGCAGTCAAATGTTGACATGCCGTTGGGCCGTTTCTGCCATTGTGGCAGAGAGTGCATGTGCTTGTGATTGAGAGTGCGTCTGGGATGCTTGTTATGTTCAACAAATAACAGTGTTTAATCAGCAAAGTATTGCTATCAGGTTACAGTTGGAACATGGCAGTGGGCGAGACCTAGTTTGGATTCGCTGCTTAGGATAAAAACAAGGCTGTATCCAAAACCATGTGCTACATGACTACACTAATTAATGCATTTCTAATGGTGGTGTTGTAATTAGTACAGTAGAGTACTGCTTAAGAGTCCTTGAGCCAGACTCCTAAGGCTGATAGTGATGTAAATTCAAACTAAGTGTAGTATTTGAGTTTATGAACAGATATGCAGCTAACATGCAGGAAAGAAAAACCTCCAAAATAAAAGATACTGTGGCTGAAATGAATGTCATGGCAGAGCTTACTTTTTCAGGGTTACTCTTTTAGGTGACAGAATGGTGAACTGCAGATCCTTTAAAAAAGTGCAGCTGTTTTTGATGCCACACCCTGTTTATGACTGTTGTGAGGGGGAGGACAGAACACAGGTGTATATAAAGGCGTGTGCATTTGCGTGTGCAAATAACTCTTTGTTGTCTTTACTTGCATAAGAAGAGAATAAGGTTACTGAGACAGTGTGCTCAGATGAGCACATTCACACATTCTTTGTACTGTGAAGTGAACTACGGTACAATTTGTATTACATGAACTGTGTATGGCACAAAGTTTACATTGAACTGTATGCACGCCATGATTAGATGATTACATGAGGCTTTTTAGTTTATCTGTTTACAACAAAGTAAAGTAAATCTCTGAAAGGCTCTGCAGAGTTTGTAACTGTTTAATTAAGTTTATTTTTGAATTGGACAGATTACTTGATTACTGGTCAAAATTATGGGCAGATTACTTAACAATAAACTTTCTAGTGATAGCCCAACATGTGTGCAAAATGCAGCATGTGCAGCATTCTCAGAGGTAGGTTGGCTGTTTAAATTGTACTTAAGTGTTCAGTTAACAATGTTATGAGTGTTTGATCAAGTGTTTATTTCAAGTATATAAAAGTTGGTCAGCAGTAACATGGAGAAAGTTCAGCATAACATTAAAGTGCAGTGTGTATATAGTTTGAATAGTGTATGCATTCATGATCCGGTGGGTGCTATTAGTGTGATCAGTTGAACAACTTGACGGAGGAAAGAGTTCTGATATCTCCTCCCAGATGGCAGCAAGTGGAACAGACAGTGGCTGGGGTGTGTGGCATCAGAGGTGATACTGCTGGCTTTCCTCAGACATCTTTTATTGTAAACGTCCTGTATGGGTAGGAGGGCAGCTGTAGTGATGGACTGGGAAGTTCTAACCACCCTCTGCAGGGTCTTCCTTTCCACAGCAGTAGAGCTGCCAAACTAGATTGTGAGGCAGCTGGTCAGATTACTGTTTACACTACTAGATCTAAAAAAGTAATGCAAGTGAAAAACAAACCTGAGCGTAACAGAATTGCTGTGCAGAGTTTATATTGTGTCTGTATTAGACTAGATTTCCTACTTTATAGCCCTATACAGCCGTTTAGCTTCAAAAACTGCAACAAAACCATACATAGGTAAACCATGAGGATTGACACTTATTTTAAATAAAGTACTTAACAGAAACTTAAAATTATACTATATGCAACAGATTTCAAGTTTAATGAAGGGTTAGCCAGTCAGTCCATGGCTGAAGGTTGTGGAATTCAGCCACTTCATGTAGTGCTATGGTGATGATGGTTGACTGTCTCTTAAAAGCTGATTATAAAGAATAAACACATATTAAAGGAAACTACAGAGCCAAAGGTTCTCTATGGCCTTCTCCTTTAAAACACCTGGCTGGAAAGCACAGCTCCATGATGAGTCCTCATTATCAATAATCCTGTCTGCTCATTCTGATTAGAAATACTTTACATAATACTTTAGATTACTGTCCCAAACTGACCCTGATAAGAGATGAGTGTTGATACTGAACTAAGGTGCTGGCTTTTTGCATGTTTCTGATGAACTTTAATGCCAAACCATAAAAAGGAAGAACAGACATTAATTAAAACAAAGTGCAAAGATGTCTTCATTGTTGCATAGTAGGCAGTTACCTCTAAAAATATAAATAAAAACAAATATTAATTTAACAAAAGAGTGTAAACAAGAGTGTAAAGAAAGAATTCTGAAAGAAAAGCCTGTGGAACTTACTGAAGATGTAAAAATGTGTGGGTCCTCTTCATTCTGATTTGTAATTGTTGCCACTGCTGTAATATTACCCTGACTATGCCTTCAGGCCTTTTACAGGCCTTGTTTACTGAACAGTGTCTGGAGTAAAGGAAGTGAATGAATAAATTGTTTTTCTTCCAAATAACTGCACAACTTTACCATATTTACAGTCATAAAATCAAAACAAAAGAGAAGTTTTTTGCATGTTTTATAGATTTAAAAAGCATTTGATTCAATTTATCTAGGAAATGTTTCTATTATATAGTTTTTATATGTTCAAAAATGTCTCTTAGGACATCAGTAAATCAGTGCAGCATGAAGTAAATGTGGACCAAAGATTAGCACTAAAATGAGTGATCTAACTCCCTGGCATGGTGTTAGGCAAGGTTGCAGATTCCTCTACTCTGTTTACATTTCTATTTATGATTTAACAGTGTTGTTAGAGTGATCTGCAGCACCTGGCCTGACACTGAATGAAACAGTTAAATTTAACGTGCTGTCAGAACTGGGCCCTGACAGTAAACCCAAATAAATCTACATTCATGATCTTCCAAAAGAAAGCCAGATCTCAGGAAAGCAGATATACATTCAATCTAGGAGACTCCGCCCTGGAACGCCTCTCCCAAATGCTTTCCTATGACTACCTTGGACTGAAGATTAGTGCCTCAGGAGGCTTCGGTCTGGCAGTAAATGCGCTGAAAGAAAAGGCCTGCAGAGCCTCGACTCAATCAAGAAACAATTCTCCAAGATTAATATCCCAATCAGAATCTGGACAAAGATCTTCGACAGTGTAGTCCTGCCCATTGCGCTGTATGGTAGTGAAGTCTGGGGTCCACTCAGTCATCGTGACTACACTAGATTGGACAAGCATCCCACTGAAGTCCTGCATGCAGAATTTTGCCGATTAACTCAACATGTCCAAAGAAAAGCACCAACAATTACAAGCATAAATTAGGCAGATTTTCATTCACAATGTTCCACTATTATTTCCATTGCAAAGAAAAGAGAAATTCCCCTGCAAAGAAAAGAGAAACTCCCCTGATGACCTAAGGCGCAGTGTTCCGTCTTCACTGATTACGAAAGTGTCAGAGATATGCAAAATTTGATCCTGCAGAGTTTCCTGGCAGCTGGGGTGGAGCATGTAAAATACAAATTTGTTCTTGCTAGGCAGGACTCACAGGCATTCTAAACAAGCACAAGGCCACTTGTTGAGGGCTTCTTTTCTGCATGATACCTTGCAGTCCACTATTTTTACATGCTTATTGGGGAATTCGCATTTGAATATCAGGTAGGTGTGTGGATTATGGATTTTTGAATGCACAGGTCACAGAGAGTTTTAGCAAACAGCAAATATTCCAGTTTAATCGATGTAACATAGAATTCCCCCAAGGATGTGAACTTTTTGATTGCTTTTTATTCGTTATACCAATAACTGCAGGAGCTTTTATCTCAATCAGTACATAGTTAAATTTGCAGATGATACAGTTGCTTTGACGCTGCCTTTTGACAGTCATGGTGTGACACAACTGGTTTAGAGTTGTTTTTTTCCTAGGAAATGTTTTTTTCTTATTGGAGTGGTGATTTTACTGACAGTGTAACATACATTCATGGAGCAGCTGCTGAAAAGGTTCACCAGTTTAAATATTTGGTCATTCTTTTGAATGATCAAGTGAAAATTTGAGATGAATACTGACGGGATAGTTACAAAAGTGCCTTCAGAAGCAGTCTCTTCTACAGAAGCTGAATTTTTGGGGGGTGAGGAGTGACATTTCATGGTGCATATATTCAGAGTGTAGTTTGTTTTCTTTTATTTGGATTCATTGTTTTAGTTTAAGGGACATGAACTGTCTTGAACCATCCCCCTCATGTGTTGGCTTGTTTTGTCGAGACATGTTCTAGTGCACTTTTAATGTGTGTATAAGACTGAAGTCCAAATTATTCCATAGGTTAAATAAAGTTTTAAAATGAAATAAAATAAAGTAAGTCCCAAAACAAATCTGCAGTTTCAGGCACTGACCACCCCACTAACCAAGGTGTGAAATACAGGGGGTCCTGGGGGTGGGGGGCTGATCCTGGACCCCCTAATTAACCTCCTGGACTCCCTGAGTGCTTCAAATTCATAATTCTGGAGCATCTCTGAAAATAAATTTATGATGTTATACTGATCATTGGGGAAAAACGACATTCAAAAAGCAAATGAAGTGGAGTTCATTGTTTACCTGCTTCACCCAGAAGCAGGTGCAGCACTGCTACCTGGGTAACAGACCGGTTCAGCCAGTTGGTTCTTCATAGCCTAGAAACTGTAACTCTGCCTCTGCAAAACTTTACAATGAGCTGCAGCAGATCTGTATAGAGTTTGGAGTGAAGAGTGACTGTTCCTCATTTCTCACACTGAAGACAGAAGAGGAGACGAGGAAGATCTCAGTTAATGTGAGGAAGAGCGCAGAACCGCACTAGAACAGAGACTTTACAGAGGAACAACCCATAAAACAAACACATTGGTGCAATAACATCAGCGCCGCTATGGCAAGTAAGTTAGCAGCCAGTCAAAGCTGGAGAAACCAGACAAATTACCTCAAAAAGTTCACCATCATCTTTAAAACACAGAACGTCTACATAGATCCAAACATCCTAGAAAGCGGCCCCGGACTTTACTGATTGAGTAATACGCAGGTACACCAGTGTTTTTAAGTTCTGATTGTGAAACTTAAATACGTTTTTCCAGGCGAAAAGTTTGTATTTGTACTTTTCATAACCGAATGTTTTAAAACAGAACAGTAAAATAAAAGCCTGGAGTCGAGACGGGGTGTGTGGAGTCAGTACAGCTTAGCACATATCATTTCAGTGGATTATGGTTCAGTTATGTTCCCTGACTAAAGGTACTGAGATGGACCCTTGAGGGTTCCACCCCAGTGACAAGAGGGGCACTGCCTCAAAGACAGTTTAGCACCTTTATTTCTGAGAGTGTAAAAACAAACACAGAATTTTTATCCCCAATTCCCTAAATAAAACTCAGCCAAATTTTTCCTTGCCAAAGCACAAAGTTTAGTAATTGATGTGTTTTTTTGTTACTGAGTAAAATTAAAACCCAAAGTAAAAACAGAAGAAAATCTGTACCAAAACAGCCAAAAACAAATTCTAGAGGACAAAACAGAAGCAAGTCTGCAACACTCCATAAAACAATGAACAACTGTTTAACGCTGCTGTTTAACTGTTCTGTGCTTGGACAGGTTTTGAATGTTAGATCTGGAAATATGAGATTAATTATCTTATTTTGAAAGTTATTTAGTAGCTTCTGTCAGCTTTAGTGTTCAACTGCTTGGTTTAAGAATCACACGTACAGCATATTTTAAAAAGGCAATGTCCCAACATGCCCTTCCCACCAGGAAATGAAAGGACACTTTGATTTTCAGTGCTCAGACTTAGGAGGCCTCAGCTTCTCAGATATTTAGTGTCACTTTGTCGTTTTTGTTTGTTTTCCAGTCATTTGTCGTTGAGCTCCTGTAGCTGGGCTTGGCTGTTGAGGACACTCGGTTTCCTCCGCTGTGTTTTTTTCATTTTCTCTCTCTTTCTCAGTCACACATACACACACACACACTCTCTCTCTCTCTCTCTCTGACCCACACATACACTCTCTCTCTCTCTCTCTCTCTCTCTGACTCACACATACACACTCTCTCTCTCTCTCTCTCTGACTCACACATACACACTTTCTCTCTCTCTCTCTCTCATTCACACATACACACACACTCTATCTCTCTCTCTCTCACTCACTCACTCACACATACACACACACTATCTCTCTCTCTCTCACTCACACATACACACACACTCTATCTCTCTCTCTCACTCACTCACACATACTCTCTCTCTCCCTCTCTCTCTCTCTCACTCTCTCTATATAGCACAACTTCATGATGAGTCCTTACTATCAATAATCCTTTCTGCTCATTCTGATTAGAAACACTTTATATTACTGTCCCAAACTGACGCTGATAAGGGACACTAACCTGAAAGGAGACACTGAGTACAACATAGGCAACATGAGGTATTTTGTGTTCATACAAACAGCATCAGTTACTCCTATAATATATACGTTTACACAGTGGAAAAGCCAGCAGTGTGGAGCAGTGAGTCATGATGAAAAACAACAGCACATACGCAATACACAATACACAATACTCCCCCCCCCACCCTCAACATTACTGAGACTGTACACAGACCAAGTCTTCCTCATGATCTCCTGAAATGCATGGATATAAACAATTAAACAGACAGTAATAGATGAATCACACTAACAGGGAAAACACACACAAACACCAGCACGAGTGTACTATGTTATATTTACACGTGTCTAAGCGAACACACACCAAAAGTCCCTTCAGCAGTAACTTTTAGTGGCCTCTTCTATTGTCTTTCTTTCTCCAGGATGCGTGCGAATGGCCTGGAGGCCAACATCCTCCCTCTCATGCTGCAGAGATCCTTAAAGCGTCCGTGCTCCTCCCTTGATTCGCTTCAGCTGTTGAAACGGCGAGGGGAGCAGCTCGCAGGTGTGTGTGGGGCATGTTCATGGTGGCTTTTTTTCTTCAGTAATATTGATGGAATGCATTTTAATGGAAATATGTATAATTAACAAAGCGATTAGTTGTGATTTACAAAACTAGAAGCTGAAATCCACTTGACACAGGTGGGGTTATTGGGGGCTTTTCCATGATCTCTTTACTCCATGCTGTCGGATGTACACCCAAACTGTGTAGTCCTCACACACTCATACATGCAGTAATATGCAAATGTTTAGGTAACCCTTCTAAAATTCCACATTTTGTTGATTGTTGAAGTGATAAAGGTGAAAACACAACCTTTGCAGCAAGCTATTTTTTTATAAAACAACATTTTTCATTTTGGTAAACTCAAGAAAAGAGAAGAAAAATAAAACGTAATTGTGGCATGTGCAAAGGTATGGGCACTCTTCTATTTGTAAAGTCCTGTAACATAATTAACTCGTAAGGTCTTAATTGACTCGTTAGGACTATTTAGGCAGGTCAGGAATTGTTAGCTGATGATAATACCAGAGCCTAATAAGACTCTTTAAACCATGTGCTAACCCTCAACATTGAGGAGCTCCTCTATGCTGAAGATCTGAAAATGAAGATAATTCATGACTACAAAGCAGTAGAAGGTTATAAAAAGGATATCAAAACACTTCTAGCTCATTATTGCCACTGTCTGTAATGTCTTTAAAAATGGTAGTTAAGGAGACGTTAAGACAAGGACAGGAAGACCGAATAATCTCTCTGATAGAACACTATGAACTACTTCAAGAAACACAAGCTGAAGTTTCACTGAAGCCCTCACAGCCCCCAGTGAGCATCATTCAAAGTCTGTGAGTGAATCTTAACATCCTGTGTGTACAAGACGGCCCAAAAATACCACAGGACTAGAAACATTCTATAAGGTAGAGTGGGTTAAATTCCCAAAACAGGAACAGAAAGAGTCCTAGCTGCTATAAAAAGTGTGTGCAAGCTGATATCTGCTAAAGGGAGTGTTACTGAGTACAGACTTGGTATGATTCGATAATTTTTATTTATTATTAAACTGTTTTTATGTTAACTGTTAAATAGGTTGGTGAAAAATCAAATTAGCATCAGCATGAGATTAAACCACCTTAAACGGTGCAGCAGTTTCAACATGCCGTCTGCACAGATAACAGTGATTTAGCTTCTCTGCTAGTTTACCTTACATTGCGTCTGTGTTCAGGAATTCACATAGCCCTGTCTTTGGTCATCTATCGTGGAAGGATACCTCATATTGTGGTGAGGTAAATGTGGTTCTAGTCACTCACAATAGCTGCCCCATCGTTCACTTTTGTGTAGTTTATTTTTGTTTTTATAGACTAAAGTAAGTCCGACTGGGTTCTACACCACTTTAATGTGTTGTATTTATGGTGATGAGTTTGGTGCCAATCCAACACCAGGGTTTGTTAGCAATGTTAGCCTAGCATCCCCTGCTGTAACCTAGAGAAGCAGACGTCAGACATCAGGCATGCCTTGGCTGATCAACTGCATCTGAGCTATAAGTGATAAATCATGTTCATTTGATTTTTTGCTGAAATATTCCTTTGACATTTGTGGAAAATGTGATTGGTTGTTACTGTAAATGCTTTGCTGCAGAGGCTGATTTCTTCTTTTCACTTAAAAACTCTACAAAATATGTACTTTCACATAAAACTGTACAAACATGCTTGTTTTGTGTTGCATTTTGCTTCTTTGTGAATATATGAATATGTTTTATATTGTACGATGACCTTCAAAGAACAGCACTATATTGACAAAAATGTATTATTATTGTTATTACTATTGTAATTGTTCTCATCATTATTACTAATATTGTTGTATGCTATACAAATGGCTGTCAAACTATACTTCTAAAAAGACTTTCACTCTCCACACCATCGGGGGAAACTCAGTCTGTATTAGCCCATTCAACAACTATATTTCTTAAAATAAATACAAACACACAGAATGTTTTCTGATTGGCTTAATGTTAATGTATTAATGAATGTATTGTTATACATTGATGAACATCTACAATGCAGATACAGAAAGTTCTATACTTTTTTATGACTGTTATGACCTGGTCACCAAACTTTGGCATCATTTTCACAAGAAACCAGCTCATGTTTAATTTTTTAAAAGTCACAGAAGATAAATAGTTTTGGGGATGAGCACAAACAAAACAACTAATGATAATAAAACTAACAACAAACCAAATGAAACCAGAAAACAAAGCCCTGCCTTATCTGACTGCTTTAAATCCAGGAGATAAACTGACCAAAACAAAAACGCTCGTGCCTTACTGTTCAAATGTTCACAACACGTTTCATAGAATCTAACAAAGCTTTCAAGAAATTTACAAACAAAGCGGAGAGTGAAGAGTGCCAGGCTAGTCTGGACAGGTGTACATCTAGGTCAGGTTAGAGGGAAGAGAGCCCTGAACATCTCATGAGGTGGTGGCTTGGTGACATTTTGTACACCAGTGTGCCCCCATGTGGTCAATCCGCATTATACAGACCATCCTACCACACATTACTACACACAGACAAATGGTGGTAGACAGAAAGAATGCCTGAGACTGAGACTAATGAAGTCTGCTTTTTCTTCAGCATTGCGTACTTCAGCACAGATAAAGCCCTGTGAACCTCTGATCATGCATTTGGAGATACCAGAAGAACTGGAGGTGATTTATGACAGCACAGGTACTGCTGGACCATCCAGTGGTCAGATCTGTACAGTGGATGGGCGATCACTACAGTGTAAACCTGAATACACACAGAGAGTATCAGCTGTTCTTGAGCTGAAAGGAGTGACTCCACCTGACAGTGGAGTTTATACTGTAATGGACAAAAAGAATGAAGAGGCCATTCACATCTACACAGTGACCGTGGGGTCAGCAGGTGGAAGTGAATTAAAGGGTATGTTGTTGAACCATAGTTCTCTGTTTGTCCAATCAGAGTTCACTGAGCAGGAATCTGCTGCTGAGCTTTAATGATGGTGTTTAGTTAAACTCACTGTATTACAAACCTGTGTGTTTGTTTTGTAGATGACCATCCAGATCTGGACACAGATAAAGGAGCTGCTGTTCCAGTGTGGGTTTTTGCACTGGTGGTCACTGCACTTGCAGCTGTGATTGTGGTGTTAGTGGTGGTGACTGTGTGGCTGAGGAGAGAAAATAAGCAGCTTCAGATGACGATTAAAAGCAGTGAACAGAAACAGTAACCACAGAAGAAGTGAGACTGTCCCCCTCCACTAATGACCCTGAAACTGTGAGAGATCATCACTAATCAGTATCTCTCTTTTTTGCCTTTTTCTGTGTCAGTCCTCCACTTTTCTCTCCTCCATCCTCTTTTAATGGACTTTTGAAAAGGTGCATACAAAACAAGACTGAAAATCCACAAAGTGCCTTATGACACGAAGATATCACAGAACTTTTTATTCGTGGATGAAGTGGAAAAGTAGGTTTGTCGATAAAAGAGAAATGTGAAAAACAGTCAAGGAAACAGATCTTTTAGAGGAAGTGATGATGTAGTGGGAACAAAAGTCACGTGTGGCACTGCGTCCTCTAGGACTGCCCACTCCGCTCCGTCCAGCATCTCTGAACTGTTGGAGCTTCAGCTGACAGAGGACTGTAAAACTGCTCTACTGAGACACTATAAAGGCTCACATGCTAAGAGAGACTCGTCTTGTATGGTGCAAATGTGTGACATCATCTTCAGGACTTTGTGCAAAGTCTGCACATTTTCTTTTACTGACTTTTTGGGTCTTAAAATTTGTGGAACAAACGGAAATGAATGGAACGCTTGTGTGTGAGAGCGGCTGTTTGTGTGTAGCCATATGGACAGTCCAGCACTGCCTGCTCTTCATCTACAGAGCTTTAATGTAAGCGGCCCAAACTGAGCTTTACTTTAGTCTCTGTCTAACTCTAAACATCTAAAACTAACTCTAAAGGCTGCTACTGAGTTCTAGTCCAGAACACCCAGTGTTTTTATATGTCTATAGGACATTATTAGACAAGCTCTGAAACCAAAGGGACCTGCACACCTACTTGCCACCAAAGTGTCAGACAGTGATGCCATAAAAATACCAAAAAGTCATTTACTGCCAAGATCATTTACTGATATTCCACAAACTGGTGCTGAAGAGCTCCATTCAGCAGAAGCAGCTCCAATGTTTCTTTATTGAGACTTTACTGAGAATGTGATAGCAGAGTTATTTCACTGTCCTTTTCAGTGGACAAACCACATGAGATTGAAATTACTGTGTGTTTTAAAAGCAGCTCTGTGATCAGAAACTGACCATTGATGAAGGTCTAGAGAATGAAACTGTACATCTACAGATGTTCTTCAGTCTCTAACTGTACACCAGCACGGTGAAGTGAATGGGTTTCCGATTTATTTATTTATGTTCTTCAGACTGATGTTTAGTCTGTGAGCATGAGTGACTGAAGACCTTAGCTGAGGAGCTGATAGAGTCACTAAAGGAATGAATGTTGTTTTTAAACCTTCAGTACTGCTGTAAATACTGTCTTTAACTGGATGATCAACTAAGAGCACTTGAACTTACCTGGAAGTGTGTGCAACATCACTTGAAGAGGAACCCAGAGATTCCTTCCTGCTCATAGCTTCACAATCGTGTTCGATGTACCACGGTGATGGCAGTTGATTTCAGATTATGCTGTTCTTAATTCTATTGAAGCCTCATGTTAATACATCTGTGATTGTCTGTGTGTGGTCAGTTTTTTATTGTTTTTTTTTTATTTTTTATTACCATCATTTATAGTCACTCAGAAGCAATCGTCCATGACAAGTTCACTTTTTCAAAACTCATCACACCCTTCTAAAGCAGGTTAGCACATCTTTTACACTCAAACTGCTCTACAGCTGCAAAAACACTGCTGAGTCATCTCAGGACCTCTCAGGTCTGAGCCCAATCTCTGAAAAACGCTAGCCTGCTGAGGTGTGAACCAGATCCCCAAACAACGCGAACCTCCGGAGGTCTGAGCCCGATCTCCGAACAGCACAAGCCTCCGGGAGTCAGTCTTGATCCCCAAACAGCTCGAACCTCAGGGAGTTTGAGCCTGATCCCTGGACAGCGCAGAATAAATACTCCGGCCAGCCAGCAGTGCAGACACTTCTTGTGTGGATGAGCTGCGGTTCGTCTTGAGTGCCTGCAGAACAGGAGCTCTTCAAGATCTCTGGTCTTCACCTCCAGCAGCGCGGGTTTCCGGGGTCTGAGCCCGATCTCTGAACAACGCTAGCCTCAGGAACTCTTCAGGATCTCTCAGGTCTGAGCCCGACCTCTGAAAAATGCTCGCCTCCCGAGATCTGAGCCCGATCTCCGAACAATGCGAGGCTCCGGAGGTCTAAGCCCGATCTCCGAACAATGCGAGGCTCCGGAGGTCTAAGCCCGATCTCTGAACAACGCGAACCTCGAGAGGTCTGAGCCCAATCCCCGAACAACGTGAGGCTCTGGAGGTCGGAGCCTGATCCCCGAACAGCACGAGCCTCCGGGAGTTTGAGCCCGATCCCCGAACAGCGCGAGCCTCATGCAGCATAAATACTCCGGGCAGCCAGCAGTGCAGATAGTCAGGCTCGATCCCCGAACAGCGCAGTCCTAGAAATTTGGCTCCGCCTCCGAGCTCTCCGCAGTTTGGTCTGTGGCTCAAGCAACGCGGTTCTCCGCAGTTTGGTCCGCGGCTCTCCGCAGGCCTTTCCGGACATAAATGGTCATCATTTCTTTCTGTCCGTGTTGATGAATGTGTTGGGAAGCTGGTTGAGAAACTGGATCTCTCTGTGAATCGTGGGTTTCAGTAATAATATAATATAAATATGAGGGGCCCAATAAATACTTTAGGGGGGGCTGGTCATCATGAACCCTCCTAAACTGGAGGAATCCAGCATTACAGCTCTTTAACTGGACCACAGTTTCCAGAATGCACTGGTGCTGCTGTTCCTGCAGGGTTTTATTCTGTCTTTGTGAAAGTGCTGAGTGTGAAGTGTTTTTAAAGGTATGAGAGCTTTTTATGGCTTTTATTTATCTGCTATTTATTACTGTTATACTCCTCTGTATGAAGTAAAGTGTGTAATTATCCCATGATTCCCTGGTGTTTCTTCAGTGAACAGCTTTAGCTGAAATGGTCAGGACAGTGAAGTGTGACTGATAACTCACAGTGCTGCTTCCTGACGTTTGTCCTGGTTCTAAAATGTTCTATTACGATGATGGACCACCAGAGAAGAACAGAGAGTCACCCCCCAATAACAACCAGGAACAAGCCTGAGAGATCATTTACAGTCTCTCTCTCTCTCTCTCTCTCTCTCTCTCTCTCTCTCTCTCTCTCTCTCTCTCTCTCTCTCTCTCTCTCTCTGGCATGTTGGGTCCATGGAGTCATGCTGTTTAGGCCAAATCTTGACCATCTTCACTCTTGAACAGAAATGTAGATTCATCAGACCAGGCCACATTTTTCCAATCTTCAGCTGTCCAGTTTTAGTGAGCCTGTGTCCACTGCAGCCCCAGATTCCTATTCTTGGCTGACAGGAGGAGAATCTGACCATGGTCTTCCACTGTTGTAGCCCATCCACCTCACGGTTAGATGTGTTGTGCATTCAGAGATGCTTTTCTGATCAGCATTGTTGTACAGAGTAGTTACTATATGTCTTGAGTCTGTCATACATTGAGCACTTAAAGGGGAATTCCACAGATTTTTCAAAATTTCTACATAATTAAATGGTCAAAAAGGTAAACAATGTCACTTTTTTTTCTGCTCACTGTAGGTAATACGTGAGTTGGGGGATACGTAACTATTTAAATCCCAGAAATTAAAAGAGGGAGTATAAACCACCATTCCAGCCTTTACTCTAACATATTACATTAACACTACTCTTATGATATTGATATGATATGATCTCTAAACAATGTGTCTATCATATGTACATAATAAACTAAAGGAATAATAAACAAAATGTGAAACAAAATACAAAGTATTTAACAGTCAGTTTACAGTGAGTGTTTGTAGTAAACTATATCCAGTGATCAGCTGTGTGGCTGCATGTGCAAATCCATAATTCTAATTTGATTCACTTACATTATTATTATTTATGAGCCCTGTAAACTGTTAATACCTCAACCAGCTGATTAAACAAGTACAATCAGGTGAACTCCAGCCTGTTTGGAATGAACACCTGCAGCTACACCGGCCCTTTGAGGAGAAGACTGGTGACCCCTGTGTTAGACCATCATGCCTGTCATTTATGGCGTTATACTGCCATCTAGTGGACATTCACGAGAACAGCATTCCTGCCTTTCCAGTGAATCCCATTCCCACATTTCTGCACTTATTCCCACATTTCACACCTATTCCCACATTTCTTTTACACTGAGTAGAAAAGTCTCTGTCAGTCCTGCCACAAACTGTCAACCCTGCTTTGTACTGTACAGTGATTGTTCATTAAGCCTGTAATATTATTATTATCAGACTTAGAGTCGGTGTTTGATTAATGGAATCTGAAGATTTTGAAGCATCTGCAGCCTGTAGTCCATGTTAACTGCAGCTATAGTAGAATCTGTCAGGGTCATACTGTAAGTGATGTTAGGGTGGTTTAATAGACATTCAAACATAATGATCATCCTTATATTTATGTAATGAATGAAATAAAAACAATGAAATCATTAAAAGGAGTGTTAATAATCCCCATTGAAAACAATGAAGAAATTGAATATTAAAAATCTACGGAGTGAGAAAAGGTAAAGGTCTCGCTCTCCTCGTCTGTGTTTAGTAACACTTTATTTTTATTAAATTCAGATTTACAAGAGAGACCAACAGTTTTTTATTTGAACTCAGTTCACCTGTCTGGCCTTAAGCAGAGCTGCCTCTTAAAGAAGGTTCATCAGCACCTCTACAGATTGAGGAACTAAGAGGGATATGAAGCTGCATTATGATCAACACTGGCATTAATGTAACGTTACTGTGAACAGAAGTCTGTAGTCCAGACTGCTAGATCAGAGTCAAAACAGAGACCAGAACACATCGATTTTGAATCAAGACCAAGACTTTTGGTAATCGAGTCTGAGTCAAGACCGAGACCAGATTAAGATTTTATACTGAAAAAATAAATTGATTTGTTTGGTTATTTGTAAATGTATTGTCATCCATTATATATACTGATTTATTATATTATATATTATATTATGTAAAATATAACATTAAATATAGCCTGAAGCATTACTACATTGTCTGTACGTATTACAGTAACAATGATGTTATAGCGAGTTAATATCTCACAGCCACATATAATAATGAAAATAGCTAAAAATACAGCAGAAAATAGCCAAAGATTAATTCTATATGATGTTCTGTTAACAGATTTGTGAAGAATGTAATATGAACAGTAAATTACAGCTCTCAGTAACATTATTATGTATACCAGAATGGACCTGCTGCGCCATTTAAGGTGGAACGGGGAATCTGAACAAGAAGCTCACCTCTTCTTCGTGTGATTTAGTCCATGAAAATATCCCACCTACAGTTTAATGTGGAGCTCTGCCTGTAAACTCGCGCTCAGGTCTCATCAGAACCCCTGCTGGTCTCGCCCAGCTGAGTGTCGAGCTAAACTGTGTAATACCTTCCGTTACTAACGGTTATAAACACAGCAAATACAGTAAACGGTGACTTATAGTGTCGTCCGAGCGCGACAGGTGACAAAATAAAGAAATCAGTCTGATTATTACTCAGATATTATCTCATTATCAGTCCCTTTAAACGGAGAGTCAACTTTCAGTTTCGTTTGCTTTCCTGCTCGGCTGCTTTTGTCTGTTACCCAGCAACGTGTGCGCATGCGTATCAGCGATGCAGCTGAAGAGCGGCACAGAGCGCAGAGTTTAATACGCGGAGAAAACACAGTTTATTCTGTTTGTTCCAGTTTAGTGATGTTCAGTAATGATTCAGCTTAGTTATCTCAGACGGAGGACCTTAATCCGAGCTCGAGACACAGATTTTAAGGGTCTAATGTTTATTTAGTGAGCCTTTAGCTAGAACCCTGTCACAGCCTCAGCAGGTACCATAGTTTTCAGAGAAACAGCCACCAGAGACCCCAGGTCTGATATGATTGGCTTACAGCCCAAGAGGTCTGATATGATTGGCTTACAACTCATGAGGTCTGATATGATTGGCTTACAACCGACGAGGTCAACATAAAGAAGATGAAAATAAACACACCGTGTTCTCGTGCACATATCAGAAATTATGAATCAGTTATGAATGATATCAGAGAGGCGCTGTGCTTGTTCCACCGTCTGGAGAATATGTCTGCTGTAATGTCTGCAGTCCACCGGATGTCGCTGTGCTCTCTATTTTCAGAGCTTCAGGGCTTCGAATCAGGAAAATGATCAATCAATCGCTTCTTCTTCCCATCATTAGCTGTTGCATTAGTCCACTGAGTGCAGTATCACCTCCTCAGCCTAGTTTTAGTCTAGTTTTAGTCTAGTTTTAGATGGTTTTAGATGGACAGAACAGGGGTGTAGTCCTAAGAACAAAGTTAATATACTCACCTGATGGGACGCAGCTCAGTAGAGATTTAGTGCTTTTCCTCTTCTGACACTCTGAATTGAACTCTTAATTAAAGTCTTGCTTTCCTGTTTTTTAGTATTCTACAACAAAAAATAAAGAGAACAGAGCGTCTTCCTGATCTTTTAACCTCAAATAATCGATACAGCTAAAATGTTGCTGTCACTATGGCAACGTTTCCCTTTCTGTGTGCTGCTATCGGGTGAGTATCGCTGTAAGATCCACATGTGAACAGTTTTAGAGTGAAATGTATGAAATAAAGACCAGCAGACTTCACATTTAAAACAGTACAAACTGAAAGGCTTTATTTTGTACATAAATCATCACAAAAATATTGGGCCACCCCAGGGACACTTTTCTCATGCGCAGTTTTTACACAGTATAAACATGGCAGAAAACTTTTCTATGTGCAAAACAGAGACAGGACAGAGAGAGCGCAGCCTTGTTCTTCAATAAATCACTTTAAAAACACGAGCAAGATTATATATTATTACATATTGTTTAATAAAATTCATATTATTTTTGTAATGAACATTGTTTATAATGCAGTGTTATAAGCAGTCAGTGTACACATCACTGCTACAAATAAAGACAGCTTTGTTTTCAGTTCAATTCAGTTGAAAGCAGACAGCTGTGTCAGTGTTAGTACGTCCATTGTAGTCAGGGTTACCCGTAACAGACTGGGGGCCGAGTTGTAACAGTCACTAAAATGTCTGCTAAATCAGTGGAAACACAACTCAGCACAATTCTGTTCAACTCAAACAACTCAGTTCTTTAAACCAGACGAGTGCTGCTTTCTAAATATGTACAGATACGCATTAGACTGGGCTGCGCTTTCCCTTATATGACTGATTTGCATAGAAAAATGCATAAATATGCTCATTAATAATCCACTTGAGGGTCAGCATTAGGATTTCTGAGACCAACACGTCTTTCCAGAGGCACAAAGTAACAGTATAAACACTCTGAATGATCCTGAGCAGACTGTAAAAATGAAAACGCCCACATTCCTAAGCAGCACTGAGTTAAACTACTGAAGAAACCCAAACCGTTCAGGAACATGATTATATTTATTGTTTTATTTAAATAATTATATTAAAATGAAACTGTACAGTTTTTTCAGTGTGTTTGACTCTCTGCTGTCCTCTAGTGGACAGTTTTAACTAAAGATTTCTGATCCACTCTGAACTCCTTCATAATTTGGCTGAATTTAATATTCTGCAGTGAAATCACTTCATTCTGGATATGTGCACATCGGCGTCCACTCTGAACTGAGTGCTTTGCAATATTTGTGTTGGAAAGAAACTATAAATATACTGTATACTGTGTCTTCAGGAAGCCTCTGTGAACTACAGCTGCTTTTTCTGGGTTTCTATTTACAGTTTTGTTTACAGTTTAGTTTAGATTAAACTGATCTCTCTCATGTGTTAAAAAGCAGGAAATACACTCAATGTAATACTGTGAATATTTGAAATTTTCATTTTCCATTGTAAATAAGCTTCACACAGCTTTTTTATATCAAGACTTGCTTCTGCTGTGATACTGACACAATAGCAGAGTGCAAAAAAAAAAAGACAGTGATCAACTGAAATATGCCTGTACAAAATTCCTCTCCATAAGACCTTTACATACATGACTTTCATGACTTTAAATTGACACACACACACACACACACACACACACACACACACACACACACTCTCTTCTACTAAGCCGCTTCTCCTTCCAGTTTTAATTTACATATGTACAATAATATACAAGGGCCCAATCCCATTTCACCCCTCACCCCTACCACTCAGCCCTTAGCCCTCTGTTTTGCACATTCACGTCTAGGGGTGGGGTGAAGTGTTGGGGCTACATGACCCTCCAAACGGAGGTTTTTCAGAGATTCCAAACAGAGAGTTATGAGAAAAAAAGATGGCGCACAAGAGACCAAAGAAACACACAAATGTGAGAATTTTCCCTGTTAAAAAATTACGATAACCATCTTATTATCTTAGTTTAATGTCGTTTGTGTATTATGGTCGTTTTTTTCATATCAAGCATTAGAAAATTGCTAATAGCATGCTAATGTCTCGGTAGCTAGCTAACTTTCCCGTTCCACCTTAAATAGTCCAGCAGTTCTGACGCCTGAAGCGCCAGAATCTAACTGCTGCACCATTTAAGGTGGAATGGAAAAAAGAATCTGGTGAATATCTGACTTCAGCTTCATATCACTGAAGAATTAGGGGTGGGTGATAATAAATAATTGCCCCCCTCTTTGAAGATCAAATGTAACTAAAGCCCAGCAGTGAGGAGCTGAACTTTACCCTCCTCTGCTGTCACTGCAGACTGGCAGGGTCGCCTACAGAGCAGCGCTGGTAATGAATAATGAAGCTTTTTTTTTTTTGAGGGTCTCTTTTCGTAGGGTAAGATTTCAAACCACTACCCCTTCTAACTCAGTTCCAAGGGCTTAGGGTGACACTCAAAAACGAGAAATGGGACTGGGCCAAGCAACCAGGTTAAGAGGGGCTGGGCTAAATCTCAGGGTCATAACACAGAGCAATGTTCTCACTAAGCCAGTATGTCAGTCAGAATATGAATAAGAATAATAGAGCAAACAAACACAGAACACAGCAAAGCAAGACGAGCTGAAGAGGTTAGTTGTGTCGGGAGGCTGTTTAGGATCCCCTCCACTACAAAAAGGAGACTTTAGAAGACCTGGACTGGATTGTGGAGCTCAGTGACTGGAAGGGCAGAAAACTGTAACTGATTAATGGAACAAACTGATCAGAAATGGACCAGAAATCATCAGTTCTACATAAATAAATACTGTAAAGATTGGCGCTGAACTGCAGACGACCTATAACTCTAAACTATTCATGTGAAAGGTGAATTTCACCGGGAGGTGGTGAGTTTATATATGTAGCTTAAGACATTTCAGACGGTGGAATTGAGAGGATTTATCAATCTGACTGTCCTTCAGAATCATCACCTGATAGAAACACCACAACTGTATCACAGTGTGAGATAATTCAGCAGTTCAGTCGATTAATCATCCTCTGGACAGTTCAGTTCAGTCTGCATTACAAAGTAAAAACATACAACATCTCAACTTTCACCAATTATGAACTAATAAATAATGGAGATTAATAATCTGATGGAGATTAATAATCTGATGGAGATTAATAATCTAACAGATTAATAATCTGATGGAGATTAATAATAGTTTTTGTAATAAGGTCATGGGATGCAGAATTCGCCCCCACTTCCTTCGATTTCAGCTTCGCGAGTTGTTCGCCCTTTGAGGGGCGTGTTTGTCTACAACACCGAATGCAAATGAACCCGTCAACAAGGATGGGGGAGGAGCTAAGTATTGCGCTACTTTTTATAAGGACTACACATTTTTGTACCTAAGAGCTCTAGTAGTAAATTTAGTTATTTAGTCTAAATTGTGTTGGAGATCACCTTTGGTTGTGTAAGTTTAACTGTTGGTAACACTTAAACTCACTTTTTAGTGATTTTTTTTACAGCGATTTACAGTGATTTGTATATTTACAGCTTTTCAGTTGTATGTTTCTTTCTGGAACACTACTTTTCAAAAAGTAGCCACTACTTATTCTGGAAAAGTAGCTAAATTGTAGCTGCTACAAATCTTGGGAAAGCAGCTAACTACTAATTTTTCAGTAACTACCCCAACCCTGCCTGTCAATCAGTTGTGGATTTCAAATAAAAGTTAAATAAATCCTCATCTTAAGTAGACTCGATTAAACTGATCTGAACTGAAACTGAACTAACTCATCTTTTTCTGTTGATTAATCGTTTATGTAGCCAGCCAACATGTATCAGCCTGATATGCATCATCCTGCTGTAACTGCGATTCTGTTCTGTCTTTTAACGCAACAGCAGCAACAACAGCGTCAGAGACTTTATACCAGGCGTTCAGTTTTGGATTGAACAGAAAGGGGAGGCCAAACAGAGCTGCTACTACCCTGCCTTTCACATCGTTCAGACAGAACTGGATATGTAGCCACAGACACAACGAAGAAAAAGGGAGCGAACAAAAGAGAAACAGAGACTGGGAATGATCTCTCCTCTGTTACTGCTCATTAGTGGGGCTTACAGGCTTATGGTTACTGATTCCATTGCCTTCACATCTCTTCTGGAGCAGCTGAATTTTTCTCCACAGCCACACAATCACCAACAATAATACCCCACACACAGTGAGGGAGAGGACAGACAGCCACACCAGCACAGCGGCTCTCTGGTCTCTGCAGGGCTGGTCATCTACAAAACAAAAACACAGAACATGGCAGATCACTTTATACACACCGTCAGATTCCTGATACAAACACAGTTCACACTCTGTAATAATCCAGCTCTACTGCAGCTCATTCTGAGTCCCAGTGTAATCAGTACAGGAGGATCTCTATAGGCTGAAGTGTAAAGCGTACCAGATACAGCACTGAGGCGGAACCGAGGCTCATCAATCTGTCTCTGTGCTTCAGAATCATCACTTGACAAAAACATCATCACAATACAAGACCTCAAACTGAAGATAAACACAGTTCAGCAGAAACCACTGATTTAGGATCTGATTAATCATCCTCTGGATAGATTAGCATCTCCTTTATGAAGCAATAATGAACAACATTGTGAATTATGCCCATTTTGAAACACTAATAATAATGATGGGGAGAGTATTATTGAAGTTATATTTCACTAAATGAAAATGAGTCCTGCACTGTGATGTCATTGTAATGACTGATATGCTTTAAATGGTTTAATGAATATGAAGCACTGGAGAGGCTGAGCTACATAGAGAACCTAACATACTACAAGATCTGGTCAAACTCACAAGCCATCCAGCTTGGATGATGAACAGACATGAGGTATATATACAGACATTATGTTAGGCTCTCATTTCTGTTGAGGAAAAAGTTCTCAGTCAATTTTCAAATGTAACTGCACCAAATTCAGATCCAATCACTGCTATAAGATCAGTGTGTGATACAGTGAGGATGATACCAGAGAAGTAGCATTCGGCTCTAGTCCTCTATCGTCTAGTCACAGTCGGCTTTAATCACAGGATTTTTTTATCCCTAAACAAAAACTACTGATATCCGACTGTATATTCATCATTTTCTTTCGCTTCATTTTCTACAAGATTTTCTAATCCATCCTGCAGTTTTGAGAATGACTGGTCTGATGGGGAATGATGTACTTTTTGATCGAACAGTTTTCCTACATTTATTGTTGATTTATTAATTTTTCCCATCTGAATGAATTGAGGAACAATGTGAAAAAAGTTTGTGCACCCCTTTTATGTCACTATGATATAAATACCCCAGCAACATCCTAGCCTCCATGTGAGTTACCATAACAACTGTTTAGTAACATCCTCGAAACCACCTGGGGCATCATAGCAACCACCTAAGATATCATAGCAACCGCTTAGCAACACCATAGCAAACACTTGGCACACCACAGCAACCACCTAGCAACACGTGGCCATCAGTTACCAGAGCAACCAGTTAGATATACCCTAGCAACCATCTGGGATACCACTGCAACCACCTAGCAACACCCTGGAACATCACAGCAACCATGTAACAACACCCTAGCAACCGCCTGGGTACCACAGCAACAACTGGGTACAACCACCTGGCATACTGTAGCAACCACCCAGCAACATCCGAGAAAATCCCTACCAACTGCGACAGATGTTACCATAGAAACCACCTAACAATTTCCAGTTGAAATATGATGTTGCACCCCTGAACAGACGATAATCAAAGATCAGAAACTCAGTCGCAGTGTTTCATGTTACTGTTTGATCAACTATTAACACCATCAAGAGCTCCCCCTTCTGGATGCTTGCAGACATAACAAACAGCTTCCTAAAGCAATCTCCAAGCCTTACTAATCAAGAGCAGATCTATTGGGCTTTCTGATAGACTTAACCATCCAAACAGTGTTTAGTGCTCGTTTAAAGAACGATTAACACTAATTTTATACATCTATAGAAACACATGTGAACTGTTCTTAGGCCCAGTATGAGCTGTAAAGCACATGTATTTCACTGACAGCTTCAAAGGTTCAACCACCCAGCCTGAACAAACTGTAGAGGAAACACTGACCAGCGTTTTCCTGAACAGTGATTTCTGATTGGAAATGTAAATTACTGACAAAAACAAACATTACTTTCCTAAATTTAGTTCCACCTAACTAATAACTACTGCTGCCTCTCTTATACCAGCACCAGTAGAACCCTCTCAGTAAAACAGTGATCAAGCTGTAAAAATCACACTAAATCATACCTTCGATTATCACTGTGTAGATATGAATGACCTCTTCATTCTTCTTGTCCATTACAGTATAAACTCCACTATCAGATGGAGTCACTGCTCTCAGCTCAAGCCCAGATGTAAGTGATGATCTCTGTGTGTATTCAGGTTTACACTGTAGTGAAGGTCCATCCACTGTACAGATCTGACCACTGGATGGTCCAGCTGCTCCTGTGCTGTTATAAATCACCTCCACTGGATCTGATATGTCCAACCTCAGCACCAGAGAGTCACCAGGTTTTATCTGAACTGTACTGTTCAAGGCTGAGGAGAAAAACAATCAGGAACTTTATCAAATACAAATCAGATATAAAACACAGAACCTGAACTACTGGAGTTTCTATCAGTAACAATCAGTGAAGAAAACAGATGGACACTTACGCTGAATCTGAAGATTCACATCACAGCGATCTCTACCACCACACTGAAACGTGTACCAGCCTCTCTTAGTGAAATCAGCGTCAGTGATGATGAGGGAAAAATCTCCCTTCAGGTACTGATCATGGATCATCTGATATCCCTCCTTCACTGATCTACATGAAGTCTGATCACACTCAGCCAGAGTATCAGTGGATTCACTGAACTCAGTCCATCTGACCAAACCAGAACATCTCTCAGAGCAGGACAGAGTAGCAGAGTCATGAAGATTCACCTTCACTGTATCACCTGATTCAGACCCTGAAAGAGAAATTACCAAACTGATAAATGTGTTCAGGGACATTAAAATTCCTCCTGAAGGTCCAGTACCAGTGGCGGCTGCACCAGCTGTGCGCAAGTTCAAACGTAGGCTAGTTGTAATGTGTTTACTAAGTTCAGGTTTGTGCTTTACTAAATCAGAACGAGCTGCACCACAAACTAGTTTAACGCTGAGCTCAGTAGCTACTGAGCATTTACACCCCCTCAGCAGGTGTAAGTGTTGGGGAAACCATCAGAAACCAGAAACCCAAAACAGGACTTTTTTGGCTGACTAAGCTAAAAGCTGTAAACACTATACACTGATCTTCCTCTCAGCTCTAATCATCAGCCTGGTTTAAACTCATGAAGCTGAACACCCACAGCTCCAGCTCAGTGAGACTCAGCAGCCCAAACGGCTAAACTGATCTGCTGCTGGGTCAGTTATCCAGAAACCGGCGTTTAAAAAGCTGCATATTGGTTTATCAGTGAAATATTAAAGAATAATCAGACAGCAGCTGTAGATCATCAGCTTTATTCAGTTTAACTCGTACACATCGTTCTCTTCTACACTGGATATTTTTACCACTGAAAAAGTCAGAACAGCTGCTGCTGTGTTTCCATGGCAGCAGGTTGACTGATTGGTTCTGATCATGTTATTGTCGTGTTAAAGCGACTTGCGTATCAGTTAGTTGGTACTGGTTAAGACACGACTTACTGATCTGTGGCGCAACCAGATTTAGTAAAAGGACAGTTTGAAACTAATTAGTTTAACTGAGGACTCAGTAAAGACTTTACACACAAACTTAAGTATAAACTCACACAGACCCAGTGCAGCCCAGTCCAGTTTACCCAGAAAATCTAGTTACAAAACAAAGATTAAAGTCAAATCTTTAATAAGATGATAAAGGAGTGACAGTGCAGTTCTTACCAGTAGTGAATGTAGAGATCAGTAAGATCAGGATACAGAGAGCAGAACTGCAGGACTGCATGACTGACCTACAGACACACACACACACACACACACACACACCATCAGTACTGACCAGGAGAGGAGAGAGAGAAGAGAGAAAGAGAGAACAGAACTGACCTACAGACTCGATACACAATGTGTCACCATATTTATTTTTTCTGATATCTGATAAGTCAGCACAGATAAAGCAGCACCACAATTAAAAAAAAGCTTTTTACACACTGCACTACTGAGTGTTTTTAAAGGGAACCCTGACTGTTCAGACATACAGGCCTCAGTATGGTGTACATGTACACAACCATACAAATATATTGTATAAACCAAGCAAAATACTTTATTTATCATTAAAAACAGACAAATCCTTTTACCAATAGACTGACATTTTTGTCGCCACATCAAATGGTGGGTCTCTCTCGTCCACTGAGTGAGGAACAGTGAGCTAAACGTCTCATTTAACTCTAATAAATCATTCAGGCTTTCCAGCTTTAGCTACAGAGCAACATTAGCCAAGAGAAATACTTTTTGATTGTCTTATTTTCCGTAGGACTGACTCCACTGCAACCACATGACATTATAATGTGACAACGGTGGCCTAAAAATAGAGGAATTCTGCATATTTGTCACGTTTTATAATAAACAAAACATTCCCGTTTGGTTTATGTTTCATATTTTAATAGTTTTACACTATTTTAAGGCATACGAGTCTTAACAGTCAGAGCCCCTTAATGTACTGACAGTGTCTGTGTTTACATGCAATGATCCGCCAATCTCATTGAATTCGTTCCAGACTGAGGTGTTTATTCTCACCCTACTCAACAATCTGATGAAAATCTCTGTTTACATGCTCACTACAAGTAATCAGATTCAAGATTACACGCATGCGTAGAGAACCAGTGTAGTGTAGACGTTACCATGACAACCAGCATCACGTGAGTCCAGTCAGAGTGAGACGAGCAGCAGTGAGCAGCGCTTGTGTTTTTAATTGCTTTAAAATGATGTCAGACTCAGGAAAACGTCCTTCACATGTCCTTATTAAAGAAGGCCGAGAGGAAGACGTCGTGTTCTGAGACACATAAGCTGGACGTCCGTCCCACCGCCGTCTTTTAAAGATCAGAGCATAAACTTCGTCTCCTCTGCAGACCAGTTTCTGCTCCGCCATGTTGAACGGTATAAACTCTCACTATGACGTGACGAACATGATCAGAACGGACGTAAACTTTCCGATAGGGAATGTAATCAGATACAGGCGTTTACACGGATATTATTCTTCTATTTAACGGATTATTTACAGGATTACCCACCTCGATCAGTTGGATAGAAACTGTATTCCAAATGGCCTCAATCAGACTAGACTATTCAGATTGAGGTGTTTACATGGACGTATTATATTCTGATTGAGCTATTACTCGGATTATTAACAGATTATTAGGCTGCATGTTCACAGATATGCTCAGAAGCAGGCTTGAGTGACAGGGCAATGTAACTGAATATCATCTGCATCATTTTAAATTACTCATAATTTCTTGTATTACAGTTAAGCTTCATCACTGTCTGTATATCATTATTAGTAGTAGTAGTTTGGAAAAGGTATGGGTCTTATAGAGAGACTGGCCAGCAAATGTTTTTTGGCCTGTGGTCCATAAAGTATTTACATTTAGGCCCTGTCCCATTTCTTATTTTCACCCCTTGTTTTTGAGTGTTGCCCCCTGGAACTGAGTTACAGGGTAGTGGTTGAAATCTTCCCTCTGAAATGGGACCCTCAAATAAAAAGAGCATCACTTCATTAACAGCTACTAGCGCTGCTCTGTAGGTGACCCTGCCAGCCGGCAGTGACAGCAGAGGAGGGTAAAGTTCAGCCCCTTTAATTATTTATTATCACCCACCCCTGATTCTTCAGTGATGTGAAGCTGAAGTCAGATATTCACCAACTTCCTGTTCGAATTTTCCTGTTCCACCTTAAATGGTGCAGCAGTTCCGACTCCTGAGGCGCCAGAATGTAACTGTTGGAACGGGAAAGTTAGCTTAGCTAGCTACTGAGACATTAGCTTACTATTAGCTTGTTATGAAGAAAAGGACCATAATACACTGAAACGACATTAAACTAAGATAATACAGTGTTTTTCATAATTTTAACAGAGAAAATTCTCATATTTGTGGGTTTCTTTGCCGGTTTTTCTTTTTTTCTCATAACTCTCTGTTTGAAGCCTCTGAAAAACCTCCATTTGGAGAGTCATGTAGCCCCAACACTTCGGCCCAATCCCATTTCTTCTTTTTACCCCTACAACTTGTTTTCGAGTGTCACCCTAACCCCCTGGGACTGAGTTACAAGGGGTAGTGGTTTGACTTGCCCTACGAAATGAGACAACCCCCAAATTACATCAGTTCATTAACAACCTACTAGCGCTGCTCTGCAGGCGACCCAGCGCGTCTTCAGTGATAGCAGAGAAGGGAGACGTTCAGCTCCTCACTGCTGGGCTTTAGTTACATTTAGCGCATCAAATGCTTTCAAAATGGGGAATAAGACAATCATTTATCATCACCCACTCTAATTATTTGGTGATATGAAGCTGAAGTCAGATATTCGGCAGCTTCTTGTTCGAATTTTCCCGTTCCACCTTAAATTGTGCAGCAGTTACATTCTGGCGCTCCAGGCGTCAGAACTGCTGGACTATTAAGGTGGAACGGGAAACTTATAATAAACCGTCCGAACTTATAATAACAGACTTTGACGCACTTTTTACAGCATTTAAACAGAGTCTGTTCACAACTTTGAGTGGAGGCTGTATAAAGTGAGTAGCTAACGGACAGACAAAGACAGAGATTTAAGAACAACATCCATAATTTAGAGGCGAATGGACTTGTTTACATTTATAATCACTCCAGCGGGAACGCTGACAGACATTTTACCAGAAACTGTCCTACTTTGGGGAAGATTTCTGTCAGATGTGCGAGAAAAGCGGCTAAGCTGAGCTAAACTTAAAGCAGAGCAAAGCGAGCCTGTGTTGTTTATACCCAGACAGCCAGCGACTCCGGCCCGGCTGTAACAGTCGGCTGTAAGTCGTTCTCACTCGGTTCACAGTCGCAGTCAGTCAGAACAGACTGAGCTATAATATAGAAAAAGTCATCTACTTTGCGAGCTTGGACGGTGAACTGTGTTCTACCAGGACTCCTCTTTAAGCGCGGGACGTCCAGCTCCTCTACGAACTGGTTCACTGACTAAAGTCTGTTTCACAGGTTCACTTTTCACGCTCTTACACTGCTTTCAGTTCTGATAAATCCCTGGAAATAAACTAACGTGAGTGTGAACTTAGCAGTGCACAGAAACAGAACTGCATTTGTAGCATCAAAGAAAACGAATGTATCATAAACTTTGATTGATCCTTAATCATCCTTGTTTATTATCTGTGGAAATGTCACATCCATAAATGTAAATAACTAAAAACTAAAGCAAATGTTACACTTCAAAATAAAAATTGGTCATGATATGAACTTCCAGGACTGAAATACACTAAATCCAATAAATCAATTATTAAATGTATATTACTGAAACACCGGAGTTCAGCTCTCTGACTTTTAAGCATTTTTTGAAACGAGCATTATTAATGTTTATATTAATCTGGAGAACTTTATCATAATTTAATTTGAGCTGAGCTCCACAAACTGCTTTAAACTGTATTTTAGGCTATAGTTTTGTGCTGAGATTCAAAAAGCAAGGAAGAGAATTAAAGTGACTGGCGGAGTTTTTGACCAATTAAAACACAGCAGAGGAGGAGCTGAGCAGTCTGACTCCGCCCCCTGGAGGTTTAGTGCAGCAGCACGCGCTTTCTCCAAGCGTTCGGTTTGACTGTTTAAAGAAGCGCGACCGTTAGGAGCCGTTAAACGCGCAGTACTCACCGCGTTACCGACCCACCAGGCTTTAAAAGCTTATCAATCACATTTGTACGGAAATCTACGGAGCCCCGCTGGTGACATCTCGTATGAATAAAAATAATAAATAATGCATGGCCACGCCTTGTTAACGCATGGGAACGAGATCCTAATGCGTGGCCATGACTTAGTAAGGCATAATAATAAGGAATGAGATCACGTTTTTAAAAGTTTATCAATCGTATTACCTTTGTTTTAGGCATTATCTGCAGCTAGCAGTGGTTATGAATTTATACATTCACATGCTCAGTGGTTCGTTGGCTGTAAGTCGTTCTCACTCGGCTCACAATCGTGTTTGTACGGAAATCTCTTCAGAGAGTCTGTCTTACTCTCTGCTCTGAGATGATGGTGCTCTGTGCCGCTGACTGAGATTTCAGCTCTGAAGACCGAAGACTCCGCGGGTGGAATGAGGACCGCTACCCGCTACACGGGGACCCTAAACCCTGCATTAAAGGAGAGCAGTAATGAGTGTCTCAACCAGGCAGTCTGAGCTGAGCTCTGCACTCATACTCAGCTAATTCATCTCCGGGTCAGTCTGACAGGAAAATCACCAGCGTTAGCTAAGCTAGGCTAAAGTTAGCTGGTTTGTCTGCTGAGGCCCTGCAGTTGTTGCTTAGCGACTACCCAGCACTGTTAAGCGCGAGCGCCGCCGTCTGATTTCAGCAGTACAGAGAGGAGCTGATAGTGTTCACATCCCTGTAAAGCTCAAACTAGAGAGTATCAGTATCACAGGCTAAAGGCCACAGTCAGTCTGAGAGTGTTTGAATACATCCACACTAAACTGAGTTATTGTCTAAAACTCTGAAGAAGACATTACTTTGGAAACAGAGCCAGTCATTCTGTTTGTTGTGTATTTGAACAGCGACAAAAGCGTTGTTTCCTGTTCTCTTGATTTATTTTACATCAGCAGACCACAGTATCTTTAGCTCTGTATGTCAAAAACAGCCCCCATAAAGAACTGCATATAAAGTGTTATCGTTGTCTTTCAGTTTCGTATTTTGCAGAATGTGCTGTGTTATTGCTAATATTAATATAGTCACATTTTCTGTCCTGTACAGATCATCATTGCTGAAGAGGTGAACATGTCACTGGAGTAGTGCCACCACAAAAGCCCAGCCTAAGACCCTCTTTACATCAGAGACATTTACAGCTTTGTGTCTA